TAGAAAACTCTAGTTTTAAACTAACTGTGGCATGCTTCAGCTGCTTGAGCTTATAAGTTTGAGACCAGCCTGAGCAACATAGTCAGATCTGTCCAGGGATTGGGGGAGTGGGAGGAGGAATAAAACCTCATTTTCGCTTACGTCTTTGGAGGAGAAGAAACCCAAAAAGATAATACTAGGGCCTGGAGAGATAGCTTAGTTTAAGAGTGCTTGGTGCTATTGCAGAGGACCTGAGTTCTATTCCCTGCACCCATGTCAGGTGGCTCACAACTAGCTCTAGGAGCTAGCCCTCTTCTGGTCTCTACTGGCACCCACACATAAAGTACTTTAAAGATCCCCATACGAAATTCTCCAAAACCTGAAACTTTAAAAGTATCAGTACATTGCTCAACCTATAATATTATGTTAAAATATGTTTATATTCCAAAACACTAAAAGCCTTGCATGTCATTTACTTTCCAACTACTCAGCATCTTTGTCTAAGGCCTGCAGAAGGAAGTTGATAAAAATTTTTTGTTTTACAGTTTGACACTAGAAACATCCAGTTAACACTTGTTTCAGGCATGTTTTTAATGCTTTTATAGCCAACAAGCTGATATATATACCTTTATTTTCCTTAGGAAGGGAAAAACAAGAAGAACAATTGTGTTTCTGTATATTTAAAAAATATATTTTTGAAGTATTTTTATTTTATGTGTATAAGTGTATTGCCTGCATATATGTAAGCCCACCCATTTTGTGCAGTGCCCATGGAGGTCAGAAGAGGGCATCAGATCCCCTGGAACTAGATTTATGGATGGTTATTAGCCATCATGTGGGTACTGGGAACTGAACCCAGGTCCTTTGCAAGAGCAGCCAATGTTCTTAAGTGCTGAGCCATCTCTCCAGCTTTATCCTTTTATTCTGTATGAATATGAGTTTGCTAGGATCAAATTCCCTTCACATGTAGATCCATCTAATTAAGGAAACTCTATAGCTAAGACTAATGCTTTTTTTCCCACTTTGTCATGTCTGGAATTTCATTGTTATCATTGATAAACATCTTTCTCTAATCTGTTCCTTGTAGTTTAATTTTTTTTCTTAGCTTGTGATGAAACAAGCTAAGAAGAGCACATGTGCCTTTTTTTTTAATAGATATTATTTGGAGTCAAGAGGAACCTCAGAACATGGGTCCATGGTTTTTTGTTTCTCCAAGGTTTGAAAAACAACTGGCCTGCAAGGTGAGTGCACATGCTCTGTGTGTGTGTGTGTGTGTGTGTGTGTGTGTGTGTGTGTGAGAGAAGGAATGCAGGTGCCTTCATTTCTATTGCCAATTTGTTCAGTTCTTTAAGGACAAAGTGAAAGAGAAAACTATAGTTTTAAACTAGCTGTGGCATGCCTCTAATTATTAAGAAGTTAAGTTGGGTGGGCTGCTTGAGCTTATAAGTTTGAGACCAGCCTGAGCAACATAGTCAGATCTGTCCAGGGATTGGGGGAGTGGGAGGAGGAATAAAACCTCATTTTCGCTTACCTCTTTGGAGGAGAACCTTGAGTGTCATGGAACTGTTGAGATGTGCAGGTTGAATTCCTTTATCCAGACTGCTTGGAATCAGAAGTGTTTCAGATGACCAAGTTTTCCAGTTTGGGAGTATTTGCATAGCCCTTTTTGGGCTGAGGTGCTTTAAAGATCCCCAAATATGAAATTCTCCAAAACCTGAAACTTTAAAAGTATGAGTACATTGCTCAAGGTATAATATTATGTTAAAATATGTTTATATTCCAAAACACTAAAAGCCTTGCAGGTTGTCAGGCTTGGTGATAAGTGCCTTTTCCTACTGAGTCATCTTAACGAACCATCCATTGCAGTTCTTTGTTTTATGTTTTGAGACAGGGTCTCCATATAACCCCAGGCTGGCCTCCATCTCACAGAGATCCACCTGCCTCTGCCTCCAGAGTGCTGGGACTAAAGACGTGTGCCACCACGCCCAGCCCTTAACCCATTATTCTTAAAATTAAATCCCATTAGTACAAATTTCTGAGTGTGTGGTCATACACTCTTTACCTTTTATTCATTTTTGTTTTTTGTTTTTGGTTTTTTTTCAGACAGGGTCTCACCAAGCCCATTCTGACCTCAAATTCACTGTGTAGACTAAGCATGACCTTGAACTTCTAATCTTCCTGCCCTCCCCCCCCACTTTGTCATGTCTGGAATTTCGTTGTTATCATTGATAAACATTTTTCTCTAATCTGTTCCCTGTAGTTTAGTTTTTTTCTTAGCTTGTGATGAAACAAGCTAAGAAGAGCACATGTGCCTTTTGGTAGAAGGAAGCAGAGCTCTGTTGCACTCAGAATGTCATTTGGTTTCTTCTTTGCACTTT